TCGCTGAAAGCCATCGTTCTAGGTAGTAGGTAGGTTGAGTTACAAAAGTAAACTGAACAGCAACAGAGTTGTCTACGAACGACGCCACAGATGGAGCATGTTCAGCTCGCGTAGTGGCTTTTTAGAAAATTCTAGAAGCCAGCAACATGCGAGCATATTGGATTGTTTGCGAGCCTAACCATACACTGGCGAATTTTCCTTCACAACCTGTGTTGACAAGCATTTTGACAAGAATGTTCGCCAGTGAGTGGCCTGCTACACAAGTTGTAAACCCATTATGCACAATGCCGAATAAAGTCTAAATTCAACGAATAATTGCTTATTTACAACTGTTATTACGGAATATACTATATTATTACAAATACTAGAATTTTTATAGTTTTAAAGTTTATTTTTAATAGCTCAACGATGTATGATGTATAACAAACACATTTTTTTAGATAAGTGGAACTTTCTTGAACTTGATCGACATACGTCAAAAAACGGCTACAGAGCTGGTAGTTTGAAAAGAATTTAAAAAAATAAAGAAAAAAAGTACCTCTATTCTCAAAATTGTAACTAAAAGCCCTTTGATAAAATATAAAATTAAAATAAACCGAAACGTTGCATCGTCAAAAAATAATCCGTTAATACAGATCAGTGGTTTTTTTAGAACCTCGGCCCCTTAACCCACTAAAACAGCATCGATTTTAAAGGCTTGTTTGGTATAGCAATAGTTTTTATGGTACCTAAATAACGTTACTCATTAATTCTTTTTGCCACCCCCATATTAAAATTGATCATCTACCCTTCACACCCGGTTAGCTACTCCCTCCTCCACCGTGAGATTTCTTCCATCGGATGCACAATCAATTACAAATTATCTCCGGTTAATTAGATACGTAGTTCTTCCTCCAGGTAAATATTAATAGGTTTCGTGTAAAACTTAATAGTTCGGACCATATGCGCCCTTTGTGACACCACGTAAGGGCTTCCCTGACCCCGGCACTTCCGTCAATCACTGTTATGTTATAATGTTAGCGGAGGACGAGTTTTTATACAGTGAACAATGTGAACATACTTTATAATAGTATATAATTATTGTTTATCTGTCTTCTTGCAATGAAATTGGAACTTTAAAACTCAATGTAAATTCTGGCAAAATGTTGAAAAAGTAAATGTGATTTTTTTATTTTGACATATAAAATGAATACTTTTGTAATCGTAACAAGCAATGGCGGCTTGTAACCAAAATATTGGGGGTTCACAAGTACAGAATATCTCAGTACAAGGGTATCTATTCTTGAATCTTAAGGAGTAGAAATTTTGAGGGAAGAGTGAGACAAAAAAGAATATCCACGCAGATGTAGGTAAATAAACTCTCAGTGTTTTAAAAGGGTATATTAAACCTACATCTCTACTGAGATCTATATTATGTCATTCTGAACCCTCAATATTTTGGTCAAGAGCCGCCATTGGCAGCAAGTGTCAAAATGATCTACTTTATGCAACCAGTTGCATAAATTTAAACATTATATAAGTGATTACGAAAATTTTACTTTGTCACTAGTTGGGAAAAGAACACAAACGAAATTAAACTTTTTTTTATTTTTGAAATTAATATATACATATTGCTTCATTGCGGAAAGGCTGGTTATACAGGGTGTTTGTAAATAAGTGCGAAATATTTTAAGGGGATGGTTGATGAAGTTTTTTTGATAGAGAATGTTTAAATTTTATTTTTTCATTTATTTTTATTAAATATTTTAAAGAGTTTTGAAGATATTGACTTGAAATTTACAAAACGCTTTGGAGGGATACATGTGCATTTTTTGGGGGTAGTCCGAATATTTCTACCTGTGGCCAGGGCCATCGGGAGGAGGGGGTTGGCGGGATAAATTCCTGGGGCCCGAGCACAAGGGGAGCCCGGCAGCGGCACAAGGGGGGACCTGCAACTTTAGATGAGGACGTTTTATTTTTTTAAAAATTTGCCACAAAAGGAGGAGCACTGGTTTATGTAAAATACAAAATGAGGACTTTTTTTAGAGATTTCACTAAATAGGTATGATCTAAGTTTTTTACTTGACCTTTTTTTTATAAAATTGTCCCGGGGTCCCACCTGGCTCTCGTCGGCCCTACCTGTGCCGTTCGTACAAGAATGCCACAACCCTTTTAAAATAAAAAATAGTGCACCACTGACTTTTTCCTGTTTTGATACTTAACAAAATACCTTCGGCAACCACCCCCTAAAATATTTCGCACTTATTTACAAACACCCTGATTAAAAATTAAATTGTCAGCGAACGATTATAATTCTAGTTCGGTCGCTGTTTTAAAACGTCTTCATACATCATAAACCTGTACGAAAAAATAATCCATTTTTTACTGTTTTAGAATGCAAAAATGTATCTAATATGAGCATTGTCTGTGAGCCTTGTCTGTAACAGACAACGATATTAGTAATTATAACAAATACGATAACTGTATCTCCATAAATGCATTATTCATTCATATGTTATTGCGAGATTTATTTTAGTAAAATTTGAGCAAATTTAAAAAAAAAGTATTAAATAAAAATTAATAAAAATTAATAAAAATTAATAAAAATTAATAAAAATTAATAAAAATTAATAAAAATTAATAAAAATTAATAAAAATTAATAAAAATTAATAAAAATTAATAAAAATTAATAAAAATTAATAAAAATTAATAAAAATTAATAAAAATTAATAAAAATTAATAAAAATTAATAAAAATTAATAAAAATTAATAAAAATTAATAAAAATTAATAAAAATTAATAAAAATTAATAAAAATTAATAAAAATTAATAAAAATTAATAAAAATTAATAAAAATTAATAAAAATTAATAAAAATTAATAAAAATTAATAAAAATTAATAAAAATTAATAAAAATTAATAAAAATTAATAAAAATTAATAAAAATTAATAAAAATTAATAAAAATTAATAAAAATTAATAAAAATTAATAAAAATTAATAAAAATTAATAAAAATTAATAAAAATTAATAAAAATTAATAAAAATTAATAAAAATTAATAAAAATTAATAAAAATTAATAAAAATTAATAAAAATTAAATTAATAAAAATTAATAAAAATTAATAAAAATTAATAAAAATTAATAAAAATTAATAAAAATTAATAAAAATTAATAAAAATTAATAAAAATTAATAAAAATTAATAAAAATTAATAAAAATTAATAAAAATTAATAAAAATTAATAAAAATTAATAAAAATTAATAAAAATTAATAAAAATTAATAAAAATTAATAAAAATTAATAAAAATTAATAAAAATTAATAAAAATTAATAAAAATTAATAAAAATTAATAAAAATTAATAAAAATTAATAAAAATTAATAAAAATTAATAAAAATTAATAAAAATTAATAAAAATTAATAAAAATTAATAAAAATTAATAAAAATTAATAAAAATTAATAAAAATTAATAAAAATTAATAAAAATTAATAAAAATTAATAAAAATTAATAAAAATTAATAAAAATTAATAAAAATTAATAAAAATTAATAAAAATTAATAAAAATTAATAAAAATTAATAAAAATTAATAAAAATTAATAAAAATTAATAAAAATTAATAAAAATTAATAAAAATTAATAAAAATTAATAAAAATTAATAAAAATTAATAAAAATTAATAAAAATTAATAAAAATTAATAAAAATTAATAAAAATTAATAAAAATTAATAAAAATTAATAAAAATTAATAAAAATTAATAAAAATTAATAAAAATTAATAAAAATTAATAAAAATTAATAAAAATTAATAAAAATTAATAAAAATTAATAAAAATTAATAAAAATAAAAATTAATAATAATTAAAATTCCTAAAAATTAAAATTAATAAAAATTAATAAATATTCCAGCGAAGCAGGGTCGGGTCAGCTGTTAATATATGTATTCGTAATTAACCTAAAAACAATTTATATTAATCGTTATTACCTGTCATTTAATGTTAAAAAAATTCTATATGACTCGTTGGTTCTATCAAAAATTAATTATGGAGATGTCCTTTATGGGCCATATTGGGTCAGATGACAAAAGGAGAATTCAGGTTTTGGTCTAATTTGTGGAATTAGAAGGCGACAACCTATATCCCATAAATTAAAAACTTTGAATTGGCTAAATATGGAAAAACGAAGGTTACTTCACGCTGCTTGTCTATTTCATAAAGTCATTAAAAATCGCTTACCTGGTTATTTATACAATCGATTACTTTCGATTAATCGATCATTTTCGATTAATCGATTATTTTAGATTAATCGATTATTTTTGATAAATCGAATATTTTTAATTTATGGATTATTTTAGATTAATAATCGATTAAATTCGATTGTTTGATTATTTTCGATTAATCGATTATTCTATTATTTTTAATTAGTCGATTATTTTCAATTAATCGAATAGTTTCAATTAACCGAATATTTTCAATTAATCGAATATTTTCAATTAATTGAATATTTTCGATTATTTTAGATTAATCGATTATTTTCGAATCAATTAAAATATGTCAAAAGAATAGGTTTATTACAGTAAAATCCATGGAAACATGATTAAATCCAAACGAAAACTTTTATACAAGGGTAAATTTTAGGTTGTAAAACGTAACAAATTGAAGTATATCATAAAACCTAGTACGATACATGCCCATAACGTGCTAGTATGTAGAAATTTAAGTAACGAGCTTGTATCGTAAACTATTGTAACAATAATTTTTTAGAGCTGTCAAATTTGAATGCGACAAACTGGCGACGAACAATTATGATGCAAAGTCTAAATCACACCACTAAATTTTGGCGTTCACATTTTGTTTTCGTTAACTGTACTTATATGGCACTTGGTGCTATTTCTTAAAACGTTTTATTATACGAGAAAGGTAAAGTTAGGCAGAAATATGTTAAAAATATTATATGTTCATTTAACTCCACTGTACAAAAATATTCCAGTGAAAATTTATAAAATACAACTTACAGAAAGCCGACAATCCTGCTGCTGCAACGGCCAACTGCGAATCGCTGGCATGCGGTAACAGAAAAGGAAGTGAAGATGATGCTAAAATCGGTATCGGAGTCACCAATTCAGTTTCAGACTTTTTAACTATAATACTATTCTTGGTTTCGTCTTGAGCCGAAGATTTCTGCTCCAAATCTCCATAAAGTTTTCGGAAAAACTCCCTTGGAGAGGAAGGTTGTTTGGGTTGTGAGGGTGTGGTGGTACTGCTGGTCATTTTCTAGAACAAAAAGTATATGCCTATAAGTATTCAAATTATTCTTATTTTTGAAAGTTAAGTAATGTATATAGGCATAGTATTAAATTGGTAACCAAATGGACATGCTTTTTTTGTTTTTGATGATTTAATACGGTTTCATAAAAACATAAAAATGATGTCTTGAATAAATTAAAGGGCCACAGGTAGGGGGGTTTAGGACATATTTGAGATTTTCGTAACAATATACACTGCGTTAGTTTTATAAAAAAAAATATAGTCATATTTTGTAAATAGTTCATAGGAGACCTCATCATTTACAAAGTAGATCATTTAACAAAATTTAGTCGTTTAGATGTCATAGAAGCCGATAAATAATTATTTAATTTTAAATTATTCGTGTGTATCGTGACGTGTACCAATAAATACAACGAATTTAAAATTTTGTTTTAATATGAGTACTTTTATTTTCTTATTAATCCAATCTCTGAGTGTACTGTAAGAACAGTCAAATATAAAAATAATTAGGAGCCTATTCTCTGTTTTTAAAATTCTTGACAATGCATAAAATGGAGACTAAATAAAAATCGAAATAAAATCAAATAAAATTTACTAATTTATTTTAAAAATTTTGTAGTTGTCGATATGTATGAAGTTTAATATTAAATTAAAAAAATTTTATACTTGGATATGTGGTTAATTTTTATAAATTAAAATGCAATTAAAAATATATAGGACAATATTAAATGGGACAGGTGACCCCCCCATATTCTGACCAGAACTGTGATCCGAAATATATTTATAGTTACCTTTTTCTATAATGTATTAGCAAAATATAACTAAACTTAACTTAAACTAGAACAAAGAATGACATTGATGTATTTTTTAAATGATACCAATATTGGTAAGAAAAATAAATCCTACAACAAAACGCAAAGACAAAATTGTTAAAAAAAACTAATTCTTTTAAATCACAATAAATTTAAAATATATACACGTTGGTCAACTTTCGAAGCAAGATTCCTCACATTAAATAAGACTTTTTCATATATTAACATAGGTCCAATTCTACTTCGTTTAAAAACAAATAAAAACTAAAAAACCATGAAAAAGAAAAAAAGTTTGTTAATAATAATCCTAATACCTTAAAAAGGCGGCGTCTGGCCGTATCTCGAACATTTTTTATCTGGGCAATTTCGTTTTTTTTTTTTCTACAAAATCATTAAAAATGTTTTTAACTTTGTAACTTTCCGCTGTCACGTGATATATTACATACAAAATATGATTGTGTTTCTAAAAAAAATCTATATAATTTTAAACCTTGCTAAAAATGTCTAGGTAAGTCAATGCTTACTTGTGGTTTAGATACCAAAAATCAAAGTCATTTTTCGAGTACTTTAAAATAATTTCGCTTCTTAAGACTTCTTTACAACCCCTTCACTACATGAACAGTTTTCAATATTTAAATTATTGCCAGAAAGCTACGTTTAAAGTCATATTTTTTAAAATCAACTACGCATATACGGCTGATTTCTATGCGCGAACGCTCTCCTTTGACAATGCACTTTGCTTTAATTCAGGCCTGCACAAAATACGACCCTTTGTCCCTCTACCAGTTTGACCCGCCTATGTCAAACTATACATTTTCCATTTTAAGTAACAAAATTGTATTTATTAATTACCTTAATAGATATCAAATCATATATGTGGTAAAACACAAAAAAACTTTACTGAATAAAACTATAAATTAATTTTTTTGAGTTTCAAGATCAACGTATTTGAGCGTTGCATCTGCGAAAATCCTTCATTGCCTACACCCTCCCCCCCCCCCTCCCCCACCAAGAAAAATTACATCCGTTCTTGGCCCTCGTACACCTACGGTTTTTTTGAACTGGCCCTTTGAAAATCTCCGTTGCCTGTACACTGCTTTAATTCGTCAAGATATTGAGCTATTTCCTAAAGTAAGGATGAACCTCAAAAAAAGCCATTTCACTAATTTTTTCACTAATTTTTATGTAGGTACAATTTGATATTGTAGGAATAATTTACCCGAAAAATGTTAAAAATAAAATATTTTATTTTTTTAAATTCAGAATCGGACCTATGTTGATATGAAAAAGAAGTTATTTTTATGTGAGGAATCTGTGAGGAATCTCCTCTCGAACGTTGGCCCATGTATTTTGAAACACCATATATTTCACAATAAAAGTATATTATGTAGGTATTACCAGTGCAGTTATAGGTACTATTTAATTCATTTTACTGAACTAGATTTTACTCACTTTTCTCATAGGCATGTTTAAATAGTAAAATAAATATTATCTGCAAAATGTACACTATCACCTTATACACACTTTTTCCATAACAAATTTATTTAATTTTCTTTAAAATACTAAACAGTCAACAGTGATATGCGATATGCGACAGTGTTGCCAGTTGCTAACAAATGCAAATTTTTTTCAAAATAGCATTGTTGTAGAAAACGTAATATATTTTTTATTTTTTAATTTTATTAAATTGATGTGGTGCTAGATTTTGTGTTTAATTTGCCTCAATAATATACGGGGTGGTGTCAAAGTATTTCATCAACTAAGATGATAACCGTTTCTATGTTACCAAAGGTAAACTTAAATTTCAAAATACCCAGCTCACCCTCATCAATATCTTACTACATATAGTCTAGAGAAGAAAAGAGTGTAGTAATTTAATTTTCAGAACGTAGTACGGGTTCAAGAGGTAGACATTTTATTTATACCTCATCCTTCAATAATTATTTGTAGTTAAACTGAAAATTTTAATACATCTGATCAGCCTAATAAAAGTTTTCGTTTAGATTTAATCATGTTTCCTTGGTTTTTACTTTAATAAATATTATTTTTTGACAGATAAGTCAGACTTTATTTATTCATAGCCAATACGTATGTATTTTAATTAATTCGGAATTTTGTATTAGTATATATTATAATTTTATAGTTGATATAAGAATGGCGAGTGCATTAGAAAATATTGCAAACACAAGTATCTTTAGAAAAAAAAATATCGTACATAATGTATTTAATAATATTCGAAAAGATTGTTTCACTTTTTGGGCTGAAATCCACTAAATGTGAGACCTGTACTGGAGTATCTAAGCGAACAGTGTATAATATTATTAAAGAAGATACAGTTATTGGAGAAGTCTCACATCCGAAAAAGCCCCCAGGGGCCGTATTCTTGTAACTATGCGAGTAGATAATTTTTTAATTAGAAAACCGACTTTAAAAGCGTGCAGATGCCCTTAAAAATTGAGATTTTTGATTTTCTTATAGATCATCAGATCCTGACCAATTGTATATGGAACTACCTCTGAGGCTTCTCTTCATTTAAATCGCCAGGACCTGACGGTATCTATCCAGCCCTACTTCAGTGGGGTCTGGAAGAACTCACACCGCACCTGGTGGATATATTCAGATCCTCGTTGGCTCTGAGGTATATCCCCAAAAAATGGAGAGAGGTAAAAGTGGTATTTATACCCAAATCTGGAAGGATGGATTACACTGTTCCAAAAACATACCGACCAATTAGTCTGACATCGTTTTCCATGAAGACATTGGAAAGACTATGCGAAAGGTACATAAGGGATGCGATGATTACAACAACACCACTACACCCAAACCAACATGCATACACCCCAGGCGGATCTACTGATTCAGCCCTTCATCTAGTTGCTGGCTGGATAGAAAGATCCCTGGACAATAAGGAGTCCGCCTTGGGTGTTTTCATAGACATAGAAGGTGCTTTTGATAAAACCACCTTTCCAAACAACAGGAATGTTCCACAAATGGTTAGTGGGTGGATACATAACATGCTCTCAAAGCGAGCAGTAAACATAAGTGTAGAAGATGTGAATATAAGAGGCTTGGTTGCGAGGGGATGTCCACAGGGAGGGGGGCTATCACCTCTACTGTGGAATATGGTCCTCGACACCCTCACCAGCCGCCTCAATAATGACAGTCACTACACAATCGCATATGCAGATGACCTGGTTATTCTGCAAACAGGGAATTTTGAGAACATACTCTGCGAAAGAATGCAAGTAGCTTTAAAAATTATAGTGGTGCAAGGACCATTCACTGTCTATCAATCCTAAGAAGACAGAAATTGTCCTTTTCACAAGTAAAAGGATGAAAATGGAATTAAAACCTCCAGAACTCCTAAACACAAAACTCAACTTTGCGACAGAGGTGAAGTACCTAGGTCTCACCTTTGACACCAAGTTAACATGGAACTCGCATTTAGAAAACAGAGTTAAAAGAGCATACATTGCTTATGAACAATGCCGCCGTACTGTGGGACGCACCTGGGGTTTCTCCCCCAGAGTTGTCGCATGGACTTACACGGCTATCATAAGACCTATGCTAACATACGGTGCAGTTGTCTGGGTACCGAAAACCCAAAAATTAACAGCTATCCGTAAACTAGAACAAATTCAAAGAACAGCATGTCTTAACATAACAGGAGCCATGAAAACAACACCAACCAGAGCGATGGAAGTCATTCTTAGTCTCACTCCCCTTGATATTTACATCAAGGAGGTTGCTCTGACGACAATGCCACGCCTCCGCACAGTTGTAATAAAACCTGATGTAGAATCTGGTGAGGCGAGACGTCACGTTTGGCAAGAGGCGCTCGATACGCTCCCACTGCTTCAAGCGAATATGGACTCCATCTCACCGAGATATATCTTCCATAAGCCATATAAAGTTATAATAGAATAAATAGAAGAGCCAGAAGTGGCAGGTACGATTTATATCTACACCGACGGTTCTAAAACAAAACAAGGCTCAGGATGCAGAATATACTCCAGATTCTTAAACCTAAACATAAAATGGGCTGTGAGCAATAGTGCCAGTGTAGTTCAAACAGAGCTAACGGGGATTCTCATAAAAGCAAAAGAAATAACCATAAATAATATCACTGGAAGCTGGAAGGAACATGCTCATCTATACAGATAGCAGAAAATCACTAGTCACCCTGAACAGACCACGAATTTATTCAGAGTTAGTACTAGAATATCACAAAGCTTTGGCCGAAGTATCCATCAACAATGGGGTCACCTTAAGATGGATCAAAGGTCACGCCACATCGAAAGGTAACCGTCTTGCCGATTCACTAGCCAAGAAAGCAGCCAACCAAATACTTTTTGGACCTGGCCCTTCTATTGGCCTGACAAAATGGGTAGTGACAGACCTAATTAAATAATATTGCAGCAAACAAATACTTGACTATGACTAGACAAAATCTGCGTCTGGTCACAGGCATTCTGACTGGTCATTGCCAAGTACGGAAGTATCTCCATATCATGGGGCTGTCAGAATCCGCACTCTGCAGAGGGTGCGGACAAGAAGATGAGACCATCGAGCATATCCTTTACGATTGCCCGACGCTCTCATTTATTAGAAGATTTGTGTTCGGCGAGTATCGGCTAACACCGGCCGATATAAGAGAAGCACCTCTTGGCGACGTTGTCAACTACATTAAATCTGTAGGCTGGCTCACGAGCTAGGAGGTGCCTATCATCTTAGGAGGATGCACAATGTTCCTAATGAGGCCTAAGTGCCGTGGGGGTAACCCACCCTCCACACGTTACAGATACAGATACCCCTGAGGCCCTTTCTAACAAAAAATAATCATAGAAATCGGACAAGTTGGTAAAGAATTATCGCTAAACATACATAAAAAATGAAGAGTTAAAGTATTTTCTCATTAATCCATTTATTAGATTTTGACCAAATTTAGATGGGACCACCCCTGAGGAACCTCCTTTGTAACAAAAAAGAATCATAGAAATCGGACAAGGTGGTAAAGAATTATCGCTAAACATACATGAAAAATGAAGAGTTTGAGGATTTTCTCATGGACCCAATTATTACACTTTGACCAAATTAATATGGGATCACCCTTTCTGAAAAAAAAAAAGAATCATTGAAATCGGGCACCTTGTTAAAGAAATATCGCTAAACATACATAAAAAAAATATTACGACTAATTGAAATCATATGAATGATGAGAGCAGCATTGCCAGACTTACGAAAATTATCGTATTTGTACGATATACGTTATAGTTAGAAATTGCCCACTTTTTGGGAATTTTTATTTTCCAACTTACGAGCTAGACTGAATTTCTATTGCATACACACGTTTAATACATGTTTTAGTAATATATTATTGCATACGTATAATTGAAAACATTTTTAATTACAGGGAGATTCACAAATGTGTGACGGTAGTTTTTGCAAAAACTCACTAATTCTACTGTGACGTCGGAAGCATATTTTCAAAAAGTACTATTTAATATGGTATTTTGGTATATTGCACAGTACACATGTCTTATACAGGGTGTTTTGTAGTGGGAATCACATAAAATTATTTGTTAAGGCCTAATTCAAAACCGTGTACTTATTAATTGATTTTTGGGACTACCACTAAAATAGGTATACCTTTAAGCTTCAAAATATACAAGGCGGCGTATTTGTTGCAGGACATTTTATTTTAATAAAAGCACAAAAACACCACGAACACCTTGTATTCTAAAATGTAACAACAGTCAAATGTAACAATTTTCTCAGTAGTAACCAACATGGTTTTAGATCTTCTATGTCTACTATCACTGCTTTTTTTTCTTTTTACGAAAAAATTATTGAACACGTTGATAAGGGTGAATGCCCTGTTGTTATTTTTTGTGACCTCAGCAGAGCATTTGACTGTGTGAATCACCATATTTTATTGTCCAGATTAAAGAACATAGGAGTAAGAGGCAGGCCTTATTCTTGGTTAGCTTCATTTCTAAAAGACAGGTCTCAGTTGTTATCCATAAAATCCACCAGTAAAGATCAATGCAAAAATTTTAATTCAGATCACTTGTCAATTCAGATGGGTGTGCTACAGGGAACAATTTTAGGTCCAATGCTATTCCTCTTATATGTTAACCATATTGATTCAATTATGGAAAACAATTCTTATACAGCCTATGCGATGACTTTTCTATAATTGTTTCTGATAAATCTACTGAAATTCTTGAGACAAAATTTGAACTGATTTTAACTAATGTAAGTACATTTTTTAACAAAATTCTTAGGCTACACAATGTGCAAAATAAAGTAAATGATATATACAGGGTGTCCCGAAATTAGACGGTCATATTTTAACAGCATAATCTACATCCTAAAATAGTAGTAAAAGTTTTTATAAAAATAGGTCCGAAAACGTTTCTTTTCCGAGATACAGGGTGTTAAAAGTGATGACACCCTTTTGTAAA